CCCGCTTTCCCCCTATCTGCTTTATTTTCAACGTTTTAACCCCGCTATCTTTTATCCTCTATCAAATATGCTTTTTGTGTGTGTTTGTGAAAGAGAAAGAGAGATTTTCCTCCGTTTAGAAAATCCACAAACGTAAGGGAGTACTGGCAAGTAATTCGTTTTGCTGCTTGAACAGTACCAGCCTGTAATAAGTTGTGGTGTCCTGTGGGATATCTTTTTTGAAAATTTTCACCACTTTAGTCAGGAAAGCTTAGCGAAGTCTGCCTAAACCAGACAAAGTTAATCTGAAAAACAGCAGGAATTGAAATAAATTAAATCCCTAAAAAGCAAACCAGGCTAAATCGAAGAAAATTTGGTTTGAGCGCTGACTCCACTGTCCGATGGTTACTTCAACTGATTGATGAGGAAGACTGTATTTGGTCTGTTGAAATGAATATTGATTTATGTTTGTATGTGTCAGTTGGCGGATGCTGTGTGGTGTGATTTGCTCCGTTTTTCCTATCAAACATCTATCATCCTAATCTCTCCTCCGTCTTTTTTATGATTGTTACTCTCTTGTAATGGATGGTTTGCAGGTGCTTTGGTGTGGTTTGCTCCTTCTTTCCTACCAAACATCTATCGTCCTTATCTCTCCTTCTTATTTGTGTTTGTTACTCTCTTGTAACACCTGTCATCTTCAGCACTTATATAACCTTATTGTTTTGCAAGTGCCATAAAACTCTTAATAAAACAAATATTCTCTTGTATATGACCTAATCGTGTTGCAAATGCCGTAAAACTTTTATTAAGACTAGGTTATGTATTTCATGTATTGAAATAAATATTCTTTTATTTTTGTATGGTATTACTGGTCTTCAGAGGCATCATCAAAGAAAATAGAGGCTCACATCTATAGTGCGGTCAAAAATTTGTCAGGTAACTTATCCTCAAATGTCTCTTTAACGGGTGAATCAATGTTACCCATACTTTGCACAGCAGTTTGTATCAATTTGCCTTTCCTTAATCATATTTTTCCACAACAATTGTGGCTAGATTTTTAAAGTTTTCTTCACAAATTTCTATAAAATACTACAAATCCCCTTCTCGCGGAAAATGGAATTGTTCACATCTCTTCCCGCTTGTCACACACATTTTGCGTACGCATATATATGGCTTACGTCACAACTAGCCTGTGACACTTTTTAATGGCCAGACTAGTTACGAGAAATCAATTTTATAAGGAACACGTTTTTGCCCTAAAGTTCTTGAAATATTCGTTCAATAAAGGTAATCTTGCGATTTGAAAAAATGGCGGACTTGCTTTTAAAAGCGATATTGTCCCAGTCATAAACCTTTTAACATCTGTCGAAACCACCCTCTGGGATTTTTTATTAGTATTTATGAAGGAATTTTCTAGAATAGAGCTAACAGGTGTTTACAAAAATATTGATCTGTTAAGACAAATTAATGCAAGTCTCTGTGCGAAAGCTGGAAAGTTTATGTTCGATAATTGAAGAGATATTTGACAATAAGTTGCGCCCCGAATTTTTGATCGCACTATAAAATTTTACATATAGAGAGAGGTGAGGAATGTGCTGGGCCTCAAAGATGAAGAAATTTGAGTTTGATTCTTGACAGCTCAATGTTGGACGGTTTTCATTCAGGTGGGGTTGTTTTTTTTTACATTATTGATAGACTGTGTAAGAGGGACAGTTATTTTATTCCCATAGAATGTGGTTTTTAGTAAGTTTGGGAAAAAAATTTGTGAGGCATAGTGGTGAAATCCGGTTCTAGCCAATATACTGAAGTTGAAGAAACCGTCATTTTTTTGTCGGTTTGGCAGTTTTTATTGAACTATTTGTGTTTTGGTTCAACACCTTTTATGTCCATTTAAAAACACATTTCTGTGTGGATTTTACTGGAAAACATTGATTAATGTTTCTAAAGACTCTCAAGCTACGGAAGTCATCCAACTTTGGCAGCTAGAAACCAGGCGAATTGAAGTGCATCTTGATACATTGATACATTTTTTTATCGTCTAGGGCGGGGGGCTACAACAGAAATCAGGCCCAGCGTATTTTCTTTTATGTCCGGCCAGATGGTAAATTAAGCCTGTGGCCCGTTAAGGTGCACTGCACACTCTCTTCCTCATCTGACACTTCGGACGAAAACTTGTACAGGGAGGTGTAAATCTTAATGCTACCTTTAGTTGGGGAAGTAAAGGCGGTGTGGAAAGGAACTGGCCACTCTATCACAATATGCCGAAGGCCCCGAAAGTTGTCTCTCTAACTAGGCAATCCCCAATGTCCGGATCAGATGCAGGGACAACTTTATACATTACTCTACGCTTAACGCTTTGCCATCAAAGGCAAAGGCATTTTGGGGGAAAATCCAAAGAACCTGGATGGATTTAACCATCGCCAATCGGCGCGATGTGATTGCAAAGTGTTAAAAGTTCAAGCCAACGGTATGAGCTTCCAGTTTCTTGCATGGGCTTCCCCAGTTTCTCGTATGGGCTGCTGGTTTCTTGTAGGGGCTTGCTATTTCTTTGATGATGCTCCACACGAAGAATGTAAGACTCGGACACACTTACACTTGCGTGTTTGTAAAGTACGCCAAATCCCCGTCTCCATCAACCTAGGTTACGGCTCCACGTATACGAGCCAGGGCTACAGGACGTTCAGCAACGATGACATGCAGTCGGTGATCACCGAGGACAACCAGTTCTACTCGCCGCTCGACTCGCCCGAAGGTAAGGAAATAGAAGAAACCATGATTGTTCCGCCTGTTGGACAAGTTTGAGTGGGTGGTTGGTGGGTGCTCTGGTGTGGTTTGCTCCTTCTTTCCTATCAAACGTCTATCGTCTTTATCTCCCCTCCTTCTTTTTTGTGTTTGTTACACCTCTAATCTTCGGTACTTTTGTGACTTTATTGTGTTGCAAGTGCCGTAAATCTCTTACGAAAAGAAAAAAAGGACAAGTTCGATCTTTGCTTTTTTGTTTGTTTTCTTTTTTCTCACCATCTTTTGTGTCCGTTTTAGAAATGCATTCTGTGTGGGTTTTACTGCAAAAAGTTTGTTAAAAGACATAGGGAATGTATATTTGCTATTTCAAAAGACACGCAAGCTTTGAAAATCACCAAGCTTTGACGATGATATACTCAACAATTTTACCTCTGAGACCAGGTAACCCCTACCTCCTTCAATAGCAGATATCTCTACTTATTCAAGGCAGATGAGTTGGGTTTTTTTTCATCAAAAGTACAGCAAATGAAAAAGCTTTTAGATGGTACCCATAACTGTATATGCCCAAAAATTGATGAGTGCCTGATTCTGCCAAGTCGTGACACAAATATTTTGCTTCTGCCCCCCACAGGTTCGGACACAGAGTCAGACGTGAAGGAGAGTCGTGGAGCAGTGGGAGGCGCAGTCGCAGCGAGGGGACTCTCGCGCCAGGCAAGCGGATCTTCTATAAATAGTAGACACTTTGAGGTAGAGGGTGATGGGCTAGCCTCACGCTTCACACTCGCTGATGGCTTGGTGTTCAAAAAACACTCCCTCCCTCAGACCGGCGTTCTGAAAGACCCCCATCCATACCTCTCATCCTCGCACGGTATCCCCCTCTACGTTGTTCAGCCTCGCCGTGTGCTCAACGCTTTCTCAACCCCTCAAGGAGCGTAGGTGCCATATTTGGCACATGCAATTTTAATAATTATATCTTAAAATAATTTCCCTTGATGGACCATTCTTCAATGTTTTATATCTGGCTAGGACTTGCTGTCTACTCAGATCTAGAAGTAGACCCACAATAAGCCTTTCTGAAATAAGAGCAGTGTCTTTCTAATAAATTTCCTTTTTCCTTTTCAAATTCCATAATTTCTTTAAAAATTCACCTTTTTTTTGGTCAAGAGGGTTTACACTTTGCCACCACAAGACTCATATAGTAAAAACTCTTGCCATCAAAGGCAAAGGCATTTTGAGAAAAATCCAAAGAAACTGGATGGTAAACATCACCGATCGATGAGAAGTAAGGGCAAAGTGTTTAAGTGAGGCGTGTTGAAAAGCTTGTTTTATAAAGCACAAAGAAGAAGTGCACAAGGATACCAAAGCTTTGAGGTACATTGAAGTGGAAGGATAATCATGTCATAATGTAGAAGTAATGTTAATTGGTCGAAGTGCATGGCTAGTTGTATTCTGTAATAGAACAATATTGCGTTAGTAAACATTTATTTCCAAAGTTTTTTTATTCATGGAAACAGAACACAGCAAAAAAAATTCCATGATCAGTTTTTCAAGCAGTTTTTTTTCAATGCTGATCAAGTGAGCCAAATTTAGAGCTATATATACTTGTCTTTTCTTGTTGCCTAAAGAGAAATTTGACAATATACTATACTCACCAGGGTCTGAATTACAGTTTCCATAAATGGAGTGCAACATTTTTTTTTATTTGAGAGCTTTGTGGCCACCCATCACCTGCTTTGTCCTCCCTGAATTTATTTTCTTTTTTTTTTGGTCAATTTTAACTCTTTATCTGAGGCAAGTGTGTCGGAACTGCTGTGCCGGTGAGCCGCTGTCAGCACATTCCTTTACGACGATTTTGACATCAAATTACTTCTGAATTACATTCATTAGATGAAGAACTATCGAAATAGGTTTCACTTGTTTTGATTTAATGACTAATTGGGTGACGTTTTTGTCATTTTTTTAGAGTGAGTACCAAAAAAGGATCCTGGCGTGGTGGGTTTACCCCCCTCGGAGATAAAGAGTTAAAAACTGCCAGATAAATGGGGGATGGACAGTGAAAGTTCTTGTCAATTTGTTAGTGTTTGAGCACTTAATCAGCTGTCTGCACTGTTTGCTTCTTGGAAAGCCAAGAATGTTTCTTAGTATTCTAGGGTCTGCTTAGTAATAATCTAGGTCGTGAAGTGTATCGAGCTTTCAATTGAGCAAGGATTTGCTTTAGACAAATTCTGTTTATTGTTATTACTATTATTAGTATTATGAACAGAATAAGTAAAAAAGAGAGGTAGATCTGTGGGTTTGTTTGGTCAAAACTTTCCGAAAGACAAATAAGTTATTGGTAAAGGAATTTACTATTAAATATGTGAGACAGCGTGGTAAAATCAGGAACTCGTCAAAATAATGGAAAGTCAAGAAACTGTCATCTCTCTGCCTGTTTTGGAAATTTGTATCAAATTTTTGGTTTTTGGCTCAGCGAATTTTACTGTAAAATAATAATTAAAAGCATAAAAGACTTAAGTTTTCAGTTTCAACGTACTCTCCAGCTAAGGAAATAACACAACTTTGCCTGCCATTTTTTAGCCAATTTTACCTCTGAGACCAGGCAACCCCCACCTCCTTCAATCGCCTATATCTTGACTTGTATTCAAGGTAAATGGATATATTTTTCACCAAAAGCAAGGCAAATGGGAAGGCTTTAAGATGATACCAATAACTCCATATGTCCCAAAATTGATGAGCGCCTGATTGCACCGCGTAGTGACACATATTATAGTTCTTAAGAATAAGCTGTGGCGGCTAAAAGTCTACATCAGCTTTTTTTTTTTCTTTTCTAATTACTGATACTCATAAATGCTCTGATAATGACAATGAAAGTGGGGACTCTTTGGGGATATTTTTCCTAATTGTTTTCCTCCTAGACGTTCTGCTACACATTTTTAAAAACTTTTAAAAACAAATTTTTACTTGAAGTTTTAATCCACGATAATGAAAGTGTGGGCTCTTTTTTGGGGTATTTTTCCTTATTTTTTCCCCCTAGACCTTCCGCAACGCATTTTTTAACTCATTTTTTAAAAATGTTTACCGTAAGTTTTAATCCCTTTTCACTGACTCCTTACCCCCAAACCCGTTCAGAAATTTTACTCTTTCTAAAATGTCCCAGTGCGGTAAGTTGTCACAAAGTCTTTCCAGGACACAAAAGCATTCTTTGAGGTTTTTTTTGGTTGAATCTATTGCTGGTTTTTTTAAATTTTATTTTTAAGTAAGGAGTTGATTTACAGGCTTTAATATCTAGATACCTAGTCCGAGGTATATTTTTTACACATTTTTGTTACTGTTCTGAAATAAGTTGTTACTGTATCCTTTTTAGTCTTGGCGACACTATAAGTCTTGCAAATGAGTCAATATGGACGGCATGAATAGGCTAAAGAACAAACAAAAAAGGGGAGTAAAGAAGGATTTCCCTTACTTTTGTGTCCATTCTTACTTCCAAACTTAAAAACAAGCAAACCCAATCCTATGTGTCATTTATTTTAATTGAACGATTCTCTTTACATTTGTTGTATGTAAAAATGTGAAGAACAAAAAAGTAGAGGAAAAAACCCAAAAATAACCAGCCTACGGATACTTTGACTGAAAGTCAACTTTGCTTACGTTCCATTGTTTTGAACTTTTATCTATGGTTACCGATTTTTCGACTTTGTATTTGGAAAGTCATTGTTTTGCATTGTTGAGCATTTCACCGTGTGTTTGTTTGGGGGGGGGGGGAGTTCCCGTTTAACTGGAAAACTCTGTTAGATCAGCTCTATGTTGTTCTGCACACTGGTTTTGAAAGATTCATCCTTGAGCATCAAGCATTTAAGGTTTTTTTGTTTTTGTCTTTTTCTTTTCGTTTTTTTTGTTTTGTTTTGGGGGGGAGGGTGGTGCTTATAATGGTTGCAACGTGTGTGTTTATTTTTTAGGTTAAGTTGAATCGTAAATCTTTAATCATTCGTGGTTGGACCTAATATGCAAAGGCAGACATAGAATTGTTATGCCAAAACGACAAATGGAAAAGCATGCAACTGTACAGATTTTCATCCTGAACCATGGCAATGTACCGTAATGATATTTTTATACATCATTAGTGGGTGTTTGGCACATGCTCTGGTGTGTTTTTTCTTTGCTATAAAACGTCTATCGTCCTTTTCTTCCACCTTCCTTCTTTTTTTATTTGTGTGTGTTTGCTACTCTCTTGTAACACCTCTAATCACATGCAGGTGTTCATAGGTCGGGGGATTGAAATAATGTGTGGGTGCTTTGCAGGTGCTCTGGTGTAGGTTGCCTCTTCTTTTCTATCTAACATCTTCTATCGTCTCTATCTCCCCTCCTTCTTTTATGTGTTTGTTTCTCTCCTGTAACACCTCCAGCCTTCGGCACTCATATGACCTTATTGCGTTGCAAGTGCCATAAAACTGTTACTTAAACTAAAACTAAACTAAAATAATGTAACCGTCACAACCCAATTGCGTGGCCATTTTTTGGGTTAATTATGAGAAAATTTTGACGAACAGCCCCAAAACTCAAAACTTACTACTAAAGTGACTCAAAATGATGTACGTAAGTAATTGTTCTCCCCTTCTTCTTTTTTGTGTTATATACTCTCTTGTCTCACCTCTAATCTTCGGCACTTCTATCATCGTATTGTGTTGCAAGTGCCGTAAAGCACTTACTAAAAATAAGATAAATTCGGCACTTATATGACCTTGTTGTGTTGCAAGTGACTAAAAGTGACGTAAGTAAGTAATCGTTTTCCGCTTCTGTGTTCACCAGGAAAATGACTACGTGCGTCTGGCGCGGCACTCGTGGGAGGTGCTGTGGACGTACATCACCAGCCCAGAGTCCGACTGGAAGTCAGAGTCCGGGTCGAGCATCGAGGCGGGCGTGGTCCACAGCAAGAAGGTCAAGGGCGTCGGGAAGGTGTTCCGTCTCACCGTAAGTCTCGTTGCGGCTTTGGGAAGTTGGTGAAAAGGCTTTATATTATCATTGGCCAGCTGTACAGGTGTACTTTTATCGTTGTTATTTTGTTATTATTATCATTATTATTGTTGTTGTTATTACTATTTGTTATCATTACTAATACTTTGGGGGCTCTCGTAGCCTAGAGGTTAAGGTGTTGGCCTCTCATTCAAAGGTCCCGGGTTCGAATCCGGGTAGCGAACGAAAAATTTTCTTCTCTAAAAGTGTCTCCTTTCACCTCCTTTCCTGCTCTCTAGCTATGTTCTGTTGTCTGCTTTCGTTTCCACTTTCTTCCTCCTTTGCCCCCTCCTCTGGGCTCCTGACTCTTTCTGCAGCCTTTCTACTGCTACTCCTTGGCTCCTCCTAACTGCTGTCTTTCTGCCACACCCCTGATCTTCTGGTAGGAAAGATCTACACCTAGGCTTTGCGGACAAGGGCGAAAAATCTCAGAGGGCCTGTGTGCAAGTTGTGCACGTTAAAAATCCCTTGGTGGTCTAAAATCGATAAGAGCAGGCTTCGGCCGCCACCCGGGCAAAATTCAAAATTTCCTACCTACTGAAAATATTAGGTGTGCCCCGCGCGCTCATATGACCTGATGCAGTTGCGTAAAAACTCTTACCAAAAAAACGAATACTTTTATTATTGTTATATATCCATTAGACACTATACAATTTCACCTTATTATTATCATTTTTTCTTATGTATTATGGGTATTTTTATTATGATTATTATTCTTGTTCTGGTTTTGAGTCATATAGCCATAGATTAGGCACTACATAATTCCTCATTATCATTGTTTTTAATATCATTATTATTATTATCTTTATTATTGTTGTTGTTGTTATTATTATTATTATTAGTAGTAGTAGTAGTAGTAGTAGTATGTGTCATTAATTCATAGATTAGGCACTATATATCTTCACATTATTATTACCATCATTTTATTATTATTAGTGTTATTATGATTATTATTATCATCATCATTGTTATTGTTATTACTATCATTGGTATGATAACTACCATTGTTATTATTATTATTGCTGTTATTGTCATTTTGATATATCCTGTGCCCCCCAGACTTTGATCGAGTGGTCCCCCAAGGCCACTTATGAGGCCGTCAACTTCCAACCAGAGACTCAGCCACAGTGGAACTCGGCCCTCAAGGAGTCACAGGTCGGTCCTCCTCTTTTACTTCTTCCCATGCTACCTCTTCGTTCTCCTTCTACCTTCTTTTTAGTAACTTTTGATTGGGGCCCTAAACCCATACCATTTCACAGAGTATTTTTTGGGGGGTAACTTGCATGCGTGTATCTGAAGGGGGTGGGTGATTGGGTGGGATGATATAAATGCCCCACTACCCCCCACCCTCCTCCTTCTCCCCTTTGAAAATTCAGTTTGCGGCAACTTCTGCCCAACAGCAGTGAAGGCCTGCTTCCCAAGGGGATTGCTTTAAAGTGGACCCCACTGTGTTATTATTATTATTTTTATTACTATTATTATAGTATTGTTTTTTTTTTATTATTGTTTTTATCATTGTTCCACTCTATTCAGCGATCGGCGCAAAAATTGCGCTGTCTGTTTTAACAATCTTAAAATTGCGTGACAATCTTAAGATTGCGCTGCGCATTTTAACGATCGTATAATTGTATCATTATTGTGAGTTTTTTCAGTTTTATGTGTTAATTTTTATTTTCATATTTTTACACTTTTGAAAATATATGTGAATGTTCTTTGATGTGAGTAAAAGAATAAAGATGGAAGTGAGTGATTTTTAAAAAATTTTTTTTTTTATTATTTCAAATATATGAAATATTAACGCTATCTTCAGATTGCCACGCGGTTATATGACCTTTAAAACATTTGGGGCAATTTTAAGATTGCTGCGCAATTATACGATAGTTAAACACGCGAGCCGATCGGTAAATCGCGCGGAACATCATTATTCTGTAGTAGTAGTAGTATTATTGGCAATATTATCATCATTGTCAATCGTAGTGTTATCATTTTTTATAGTAGCAATATCATCATTATTACTATTATCATCATTATCATTGCTCATCCCAATCCCCGGTCTGCGTGTGTGTGTTGGCAGGTACTTCAAATGGTGGATGACAACACCGACATCTTGTACAACATCGCGGCCGAGGTGGCGGGCGGCGTGATCACATCACGGGACTTTGTCAGTCTCCGCACCTGGGGGCAAAGGGAGGGAATGTACATCTCTGCCGGCATGGGGGTCAACCATCCTGACAAACCGCCGCAGAAAGCCTACGTCAGGTGAGCTAGGCAGGATTAGTTGGGGGGTTGTTTTTCTTTTCCTGTTCGGACGATTGTTTGGCTCAACATCTTTTACGTTCATTTAGATATACATTTTTGTATAGATTTTACTGAAAAACATTGATTAAATGCACAAAAATTGTACATTTTCAGTTTCCAAGGACTCTCAAGCTTTGAAAGTCACCCAACTTCGGTGGTCATTTTCTCGATAACTTTACCTCTGAAACCAGGTGACCCCGACTCATTTGTTCGCTAATATCTTAACTTCTATTCAAGATAGATGAGTATTTTTCTCATCGAGTGATAGAAAATTGAACAAGCTTTCAAATGATGTCATTAACTCCACGTGCCCAAAAATTGACAAGCGCCTGATTCCACCGCGTCGTGACACATATTATAATATTATTTTTACAATTATTTACAGGAAAATGACAAATGAAATTGACGATACCGGACCTCTTGTGTTATTTGAATGTCCAGATTAGCTGTGCATCCTTTACTGTTTGACGGTTCAGCTACATATAATCAGGGCTGCCTAAATCTACTGATTTTTTCGTTAGATACCGATTTTGGGCCTGTTCAACCGCCGTACCGATAAGGTGTCAAAACTACCGGATTTTCGATGGGTGCCGAAAGAAGGTGGGGAAAACATTCTGCAGTGCTTCCATTCTTCTTTGTTTTTGGGAAAATCCCTACCTTCCGAAAGTTCCTACGTAGGCTACTTGCCGCATCATCATATCAACTCCCTGCGAAAGAGAGAGAGAAATATCAGCACTTGCCTCCGTGACTTGTCAGATATTTACGGCAACTCTCGGTAATAAGTCAATAAATGTATAAAAAACTACCAGATTGCGCATTTCGTACTCTCGACCATTGTCTATCTGTGCCGTTCGGCAATAGTTTTTCACGTGCATATCGGCTAAAATCTGTCTACTCACGATAGATAATCTTCCTCCTTTCTTTCATTCATTCTTTCTTTCAGTCTATCTTCCTGTCTACTCACGATAGATAATCTTCCTCCTTCCTTTCATTCATTCTTTCTTTCAGTCTATCTTCCTGTCTACTCACGATAGATAATCTTCCTCCTTTCTTTCATTCATTCTTTCTTTCAGTCTATCTTCCTGTCTACTCACGATAGATAATCTTCCTCCTTTCTTTCATTCATTCTTTCTTTCAGTCTGTCTTCAGGTTTTTGCTGCAGCTGGAAAATGTGTGCTTTTAATTCATTTATCTAGAAAACAGAATTGTGAATATAGAAAGAAAATCGATATCGAAGCAAAGCATTCTAAAATCTGTCTTGGTCTAGAGAAATGGTCAGTACCAATTAATGAGGATTCTACGCTGTGGGACTGCGGGAATCTGAAAAAAAAAAATCGCCGACACCCGAGAAAATGCACAAAGTCCTCGCAGCCAAATCTGAAAAGGCTACTGAGTTCCTATTTTACCGGTCACGTTTGTGGTATTACGTTCGGCTTTCCTCAGCCCGAGAGTACGTTTCACGCGAATAAGCGGCTATGGCGGCAGGCGGAAGTTTAGGTGTAATACTGAGACTCCATCTGGAAAATCAAAATCTACTTTCGCTTTCGTTACCGCTCAGAATTGTCCGAGGATAGTTTGTGAACGTTAGATTTACAGTTGATAAAAATTTATAACATGCAGCTTGTGCATAAAAAACACACTGTCGCCATACAAATTAAATCGATATTCTCACTGGTCACTATAAAGACAAAAAATAGGAAGAAAAAGAAAGCAAGCGTCCTCCAATTTCTAGATTGTCGGGCCTGTCATCGTGACCGGTCAGTGAACCAGTGCAGGTTCGCATCGCGTGAGTACGGCATGAGTAAGGGACGGCCGGCGGTTGTTGGGGTAATCAAAGTTCATTCAAAGTAGAAACGTTGAATGGCTTCAGAATTGAGGGGAGGTGTTTGACGCAATAAAGTCTACGGCAGCAGGATAAGACCGCGGTGCAAGAAACTGATGCTAAAATAAAAATGATAAGTGGAAGTGGTTTTGACTTTTGACAATCAATGATTGTATCTTCAAGGTTGGTGTTGGATGCCCAGATGCATCATGATGGTTTCTTACTGATTAAAAACTGGTACTGTTATTTAGCATTTTGAAAAAAAAATCAATACTTAGTCCATGATGCAGTGATTCACTGATTACCAGGTTTTCAGCATCACTACATCCCTCGCTCTCACAATCCTTCCAGCTCGGCGTCTCAGTACACGCTCTCTTTTATTTTCACTTGATGCTCTACTGTAAGCCTAACTGTAAAGGTTTTATAAATAAGTTTTGTCTTGCATTTGCTTTCTTTCAAAATCCGTGATTGCTGAAACCAAACATGGTTTTGCAGTCGGTGTTCTTCTTGCCTCTCCTCAGGCCCAGATCAGGATTCATTTTGTATTTTTAGGGTAAAATTAGTTAAAACTAATAGTCTGTCATACCTAAGTCACAAAGGACTTACCAGTGTCCTGTGCTAGGGTCGGAAAATGTGTTTTAATATAGTTTCTACCGGTATGGGCTAGGGGTTTTGAAGTCACTTTGGCAATCACCCTAAATAGTCCATAAATGTTTTAATACTTTAAAAAAAAAAAAACTTCGCCTCATTTCATACACACTGTTCATCTTAACTTGTGCACACCCAAACACCCCCTTCCCGTCCCCACATATATAAACACACACGAGAGCATGCGCACATGCACACACAGTCATGCACACACACACACACACACACACACACACACACACACACACACACACACACACACACACACACACTCACACACACATGTGCATGCACAAACAAGTTTTCGAAATATAAATAAATTACCCACTATCACGGAAAGCAAGCACGTTCAATGGGGCAACAATCATTTTTTTTTCCTTCTTTGTCTTTGTACTACCTGATTTGGGGCCAAACTACATGAAACTGACCCTGAATCTACCTGGAATGGGAACTTTGAGGTAGACAGCCCTGTATAATGCTCACATAAAACTTGAAGCCGGATTTATGCTCTACGTTTACTCATTCCCAATGCGGTGTTGCCTCATTGGCCTTAAGAATATGTGGGTGGGACAGGAATATGACCTGGCACACAGCGCCGTGCTGATTTTCCTTGTTTGTGTCACGACGTGGTTGAATCTGGCACTTGTCAAAATACAGAAATCGGAGAAACAAGCATTTTTCCGCCAGTTTTGAAATTCTTATTGAATTATTGTTTTATAGCTCAACCTCTTGTATGTTCATATAAAAACACATGTCCATCTGAATTTGACAGAAAAACATTGATTAAAGGAAGAAAATTTGTCATTTTTCTGTTTTCAAGGACTCCTTAGCTATTGGAGTTACCAAACTTTGGCAGCCATTTTCTCACTAATTTCACCACTGAAACCAGGCGACCTCACTTCTTTCAATCGAAGTATCTTGAGTTCTATTCATGATAGATGGATATTTATTTAATTGGAAGGAAGGCAAATAAATCTGCTTTCAGATGTTACCAATAACTCCACATGCCCAAAATTTGACGAGCGCCTAATTCCATCGCGTCACGACACATTTTGTATTTTAAAAAATTGGCAGGCCTGCTCTTATTTTTCCCCCAATAGTCTTAAAGAAATACATTCTTGCAATATTTTTGATACTGCAGAACAGTTTGTCAAATGAGCTTATCAGTCAGTTTCTCCTTCTTCTGCTTTTCGAGAGAACCCCCCCCCCCCCTAAAAACAGAGGGCTGCCCAGTGGCGACCAGCAATGGCATGTTTGTCAAGTTGTTCTGTATTGGTGTAATGTTGTGTGTTTATGTATGTTTTTATGTTTGTATACCTTTTTAATTATGTAAGCGTATTTTGTATGTTTGTCGTTGGTACCCAAATAGGTGGGTAGTTGGAGGGCACCACAGGTAGGTCCTACCTCTTTATTTTACCTCTGTTGCTTCTGTCTGTCTGTCTGACTTTTTTTCCCCAGCATAAAGTGATCATTATTGTGTCGGGGTGCTTCTCTTCACTCAAACAAACAAAGGAACCCAAATTTCCCTACAGAGATCAATAAAATGTAGTTTATTACGTATTTTTTATTATGTATTATATATTATGTATTTCAGTAGTCTCCACCTAAGATCCCACCGCTTATGAACCCGGTTTGCTCACGATCCCGCTGTTTTAAGAAGCCAGAATTTTTACTGTACAAAAGTCACCCCTAAGATCCTGCTCTGAAGGTATACATTCGGCTAAGATCCCGCATTTCTGATAATAATTTACGGAACAAACACCCGGGCGGGCACAGCTAATCAACCAAGACTGAAAAGTAATGAACTGCCTGTCGCGTCAATGATCAGCCACTCTCGTGAATGGGATCACATAAGCGTTGTAAAACTCGATGGAACGGTACTATGTTTAATAATAATAATAATAAATAGCATTTATACTGCGCATTTCCATTTTCTAAAAGATGCTCAATGCGCATTACAACGAAAAAGACATCACGTCTTAAAAATTAATCGACAAGTGCGTACATAAAACAACGTATTATATACATATAATATAAATGCATATGTGTAAAATTTTATATGAGAAAAATAGTCTCGCAGTGAGGTTGAAAATGTGTTCACTAAAAAAAACAATGCAATAAAAATTCACGAACGGTCACAATAACGTTGAAACGTGAGTAACTAGAAACATTCATTAAAACATTAATTCTATACAGATAGAAAAACAGATAGTTTACCCCAGATGGAATCACATCGATGTGTGAACTGACCGCCGCGTTTGTTTTCCCTGAACATCGCATTCGCACCTGAGCTGTCCACCTAAACTTACATCACTTCGCTCCAGGCGGGATCACATCGTGCTGTTGACCCTTCCCTAACCATTGCAGCAGTTTTCTCTACTCCCGAATTTGCTAGACAGACTGAATTTTAATTGGTGTGGTCACAATTTAGTGGTGCGTAACGACAAAGGCGAGGAAACTTGGTCGGAGAAGGAAAGCTATAAATTTTCGACAGGTAAAGGGGAGGGGCAACTGGATAAGCGTAGATCTTGAGACTCACGATAGGATAATAAGTGAAAATGGCACGCCTCATGCCACTAAGCGCTGTGATAGGTCGTCAAGGTTAATCACTCTTTGCTCGCCATATGTCATAAACCCATCCAGGGGGCACGTCAGTTCATTTTAGAATGGAGGGAGACCATTTTACCAATTATGAGCTGTAACCTGGGTCACTGTAGATTCTTCCCCGAGTTCGTCGGCTAAAATCCGGGTTCGCCTAAGATTCCGCCTTTTCCTTGCTCTCGAGCACCAGGATCTTAGGCGGAGACTACTGTATTTAATATTCATTTTGCAGTATTATTTATTTTGTATTATTTTTTTATGTATTTTATATTATGTATTATTTATTATGCATTTTTTACTATGTATTATGTTTTATATATTGTGTATTATTTATTATGTACTATTTACTATTTGTTATGTTTAATTATTTCATATTACATTTTATGCATTTTTTATGATGTGTTAATTATTACTTGTTACATTTTATGTATATTGTGTACTATTTATTATGTACTGTTTATTATTCCTCAGGGGCAAAAACGGCGTGGGAGGCTGGGTGTATAAGCCTGTGGAGGGAGAGCCGAACAAATGCCTGTTCCTTTGGTTCATGAACACCGACATAGGGGTGAGTGCTTTGGTTTTTGTTTTTGTTTTTGCTTTGTTCTGTTATTTTGCTGTTGCTGTTGCTGTTTGGGTTTTTCGTTTGCTTTTTTTGTTTGCTTGTTGTTGTTGTTTTTTTTTTTTGGGGGGGGGGGGTTTGGTCCATGCATAGATGGTTTACAGGTGCATTGTGTGGTAAGCTTCTTCTTTTTTCCGATCAAACTTCTATCATCCTTATCTCTCTGTTTTTGTGGGTGATTGGGAGGGTGCTCAGGCGTGGTTTGCTCCTTCTTTCTCTTATCGAACATCTGTCGTCCGAATCTCTCCTCCTTCCTCTTTATGTTTGTTACTCTTTTGTAACACATCTTATCTTCGGCACTTATATGACCTTATTGTGTTGCAAGTGCCGTAAAACTCTTACTGAAACTAAAACTCTCCCTTCTTATTTTCTTTGTTTCATGTTACTCTCTACTAAAACCTCTAATCCTCAGCACTTATAATATGACCTATATAGATTTGTGTTGCAAGTGTTGTAAAGTTGTTACTAAAACTACTATTTATTTTTCCCACCACATTTATCCTGTCTTGTTGTGCATTTGCATGAGTGCACTTAACCTTTGTAACTTCCACTGCCATTGTAAATGATCAAGAAAAATTTCTCCCTGCAAGATGAATAAAGATTGTCATTGTCCACAAAAATCACCTTCTCCCCCCTCCCACTGCCTTGTGCTCCTCTATCCTTTACTCTTGCCTCTTTCTACTGCTACTCCTGGCTCCTTACTGCTGTCTTTCAGCCACACCCCTGATCTTGGTGTCGAAAGATAAAAGTCCTAGCCTTCTTGGAGGATGATTTAAAAAATCTCGGAGGTCCTGTGCGCACGTCGCGCACATTAAAAATTCTGTGATGGTCATAAAATCAGTAAGAGCAAGCTTCAGCTGCCAGCCAGGCAAACTTCAAAATTAATTTGTCCTTTTCAACTCTCAGTGGAGCATAGGCCACCACCAACATTTCTCCAGCGAAGCCTGTCCTGTGCATCCTTTTCTAGCTGTTTCCATGATGTCCCTGCCTTTTCCATTTCCACTTGTACCGCTCGCTTCCATGTCATCTTTGGTCTTCCTTTCTTAAGTTTTCCTTGTGAATTCCACGTCAAAGCCTGCCTGGTGATGCTTGTCAGGGGTCTCCTCAGGGTGTGCGCAATCCATTTCCATTTCTTCACTTGTATGTCTTCCTTTACTGGCTTTTGGCTTTGGCTTCTTTCCCACAGTTGAGCATTTGTGACCCGATCATACCACTTGAATTAATTTGTAACAAAAGAAAAAAAATATGGAGCATCTTAGAAATCAGAATGTGACTGGCTGAAGACAAAGGGCCCTACGCTGTTGGAAAAATGGTCGCATACGTAAAAATCAGATACACTGCAGATTGAAAAACCAACAGTCGTCTACCCTTGAGATCTAACAGGGGAATGGAAAGAAGAAAAAATTTAAAAATAAGAAAACTAGGATCTCGGAACCAAGCATATTATAGTCGTGGGTGGTTGGCGGGTGCTCTGGTGTGGTTTGCTCCTTCTTTCCTATAAAAAAAATCTATCTTCTTTATCTCCCCTCCTTTTATTTTGTGTTTGTTACTCTCTAGTAACACCTTTAATCTTCGGCTCTTATATGACCCTATTGTGTTGCAAGTGCCTTATCACCCTTACTAAAACTAAAAAGTGTTTAGTCCAGCATTCACAGTCATATAGAGGAATTGACCGCGTAGCCTTGTAGAATCCTAATTTGTGCAGTTGTTTGAGATGTTCCTAATTTTTTCACGATTGGACTCATTTATTTTATTGAAGCTTGCATTTGATATTGTGATTCTTCGTGTTGTTTTTGTCAAAAGTTTGGCTCCAGTTGCACTTTTTTACTTTAGATAATTGTTGAACTTGTGTGATCTTTTCACTTGTGCTGATGAAATAGGGTTTACTGGGGCTTTTTTAAAGATGTTTTTACAATGCATTGTTTTTTTTCCAATTTTAAGCAATAACCTTTAACATTCACTTTCTGTAACAACAGTATCTAGAAGCAATTGAAGGTCTTATTTTTATTAAGTCTGCAATTAAAACTCTTTATAATCCTTCTAAAAAATTATGTTCATTAGCATGTGTTTATTACATTCTTTTTATCGCTTCTTCTTTCTTTCTTTCTTTCTTTCTTCCTGTCTTACTATGTCAGAATATCCCTTTTTAAAAAATAAATATGCTATTAAAACTCTTTACAATCATTCACAAAAATATGTGTACGTTTACATTCTTCTTGTTTCTCCTTTGTTCTGTCTTTCCTTCTTTTTTTCTTTCTTTCTTTCTTTCTTTTCATTAGCATTCTTTTCGTCTCTCGTTTTTTCTTTCTTCCTTTCTGTTTACCTTTTTGTCAGCATACGCGCTCATATGACCTTATGCAGTTGCGAGCGCCGTAAAACTCTTACTAAAACATTTGTCAGCATATCCCTCTCAACATTTTGTTCTGTTCTCCTTCCCAGGGTTGGTTTCCCCAAAGGCTCATCGACGTGAACATGGCCAAAGTCCTTATGGATTTCAACCGAGATCTACAAGCTCACGTGAGAGAGCTCAAAAGCAGCAGGTCTGAACCCTAGCCTATCGGCCCAGCTACTACTAGACTGACCACCTGAACACACATCATCTGTCGGTGTGACTCGACGCTGTGTTTGGGTTTTTTTTTTCTCCTCTGATATTGAGCCACTTGAGGATTTCCTCCATGCCAGCCCTTTGAGGGTGACTGAGATGTTATTTTCTTTACGGACTCTTGCTGCTGTGTGACTCGATTGGTGTGTGTTCGAGCCTTCTCTATTTCGGCATGGACACCATCTGTACATTTCTGTTTACCTTATGATGCATGCCGTTGCGAGCACCGTGTAAAAAAATACCTTTTACCAAACTGAAACATTTCTGTTTTTCACAACCGGATAATTCTGTGGATAATTCCGTTGTATACAACCGATGCTTTGTCGAATTACAGAATTATCTCTTGTTTGTGTGATGTCAGTCCTTGCATGGAGAGGAACCTTTGTTCACTCTGTCAATTCTTGCATGGATAGGAGCCTTTGTTCACTCTGTCCATTCTTGCATGGATTGTTCACTCTGTGTGGCGACAGCTTCTGTGTCCACAGACTTAGATTCGTGACATGTCTTGAGCCGTGCTGACAAAATGAGTGACTTCTCAGGATTTTAACCCTATTGGCATAGATAGATGGGCCAAATTTATAGGTTGGGTTTGTACAACTTATTTCATGAAATCATAAAGGATATGTTAAACTTAGCTCGGTGGAAATGGAATCGGTCTAAAATCTACAAATTTGGTGTGTCTGTTTTCTGCCAACTTCTCCATTCGTGGATTGGGAAAAATCGCTCATTTTGTCTACAAGCTTCTCGTATATAATAATATTTGTCAATTAAGGTTTGAAGTTTTAAATCTTGTTCCCCGGCTGCTTCTACGATCGGTACGGTGAAGGCGTGCTTGGATCCAGATATTCCCAACCTGAATGTCGCGACAGACTCCGGGTTTGCTGTAACCAAACCAACACCTTGTAGGAAAGGCAGCCACACCGTGTGTTTGTGTGTGTGTGTGTGGGGGGAGGGGGAACTTTGCTGGGTCCAGAGACTTGTTGATGTGACGAACAGGAGAGTTGAGAACTCTTTGGTGTAGCAGTTAGGCGCTTTGTTGTGGCATGCATGCAGGGGATGCGAGTTTGATTCATGAGTGGAGAATCGATTCCTTAAATGGGGATAAATTTTTATAATCGAGTATCTTGGTCTGTTTGCTTAGATGTTATATCTCTCTCTCTCAACCCGGATTGGCCGTGACGGGCAGGTCAGAAGCTACCCCTCCTACGCCATCTAAATTGTGTCGATGGAGGGGGTAAAAACATGTACATGTGGATTTTTTTGGGGAGGGGAGGGGGGGGGGAGAGTTGACAGCTTTGTGCATAGTGTCTGAACCTCGTTGGCTTTGAGTGGGCCAACTAGTAATTGGTTTCAAAGTTGTCAAAACTTTGTTGACATTTGTGACTGGCTGGTGTGCTTTGTGTTCTCTGCACATAATGTGAGGGGTTGGGTTTTTTTGTTTTTTTGTTGGGTTTTTTTTTTTGGTTAGTTTTATTTTGTTGGGTTTTGGGTCATCCGTTTGAGCATGATTTCCTGTAATGGTTGCGCCCATCACATACATTTTACTCGTCCCACCACACATCCCACCACGTACCCCACCATATTAGAGACGCACCCTGTAATTGATTCTGATGTAACGGTACAACAACTGAGTGCATTGGTTCGGACGTGGTACTCAAAACTCGAAGACTTTTTTTTCAAGTTTCGTCCGAGACACCACAACAGCTTGTGAGTGTGTAGCGGCTCTGCATGAAGCGGACAGCAGACAGACTACCCATACACAGGCTCTTCTCTGCTTGTGCGTTTTTGTGGTTTTTTTCTAAACGTGGACCAATCTGCTTTGCTACTCCTCTAATGATTTGTGTTTTTTGCACAGTGTGATTTTTGTTCATGTTCTCAAGATGATTTTTGTTTGTCTCTCGTGGGGCAGAGAGAGAGAGAGAGAGACCAAAGACTGGTGTGATTATCGCTAAGTTACTGATGGTGTTGTCTTGACGAGGAGATTCTCGCTCTCGCCAGACTTGTGGGTGTCTTGCTTGTGTTGGGCTCAGCTGTCAAGTCAGTTGTTGCTACTGTAGTGTACACACTCACACAAGGCGTGTGGTCGGCGGGTGCTCTGCTGTGGTTTGCTTCATCTTTTCTTTCAAACATCTGACCACCCCCTGGGGCAGTGCTACTGACTGAAGCTGTCTTTCAGCCATTCCCAAAGGGGGATATTAACATGTTCTTATGCACAGTAGAATTGTAAATGGGCTGACTTATCAATGTCGTGTTCATACTGTGCCGAAACAACATTGGGGAAACTGCTGCCGATTCTTTCCTAATAGTCCTTACTATCCTTATTTTTTCCTCTACTTCTGTTGTGTGTTTGTCACTCTCTTGTGAACTGCTATTTCTGGGGTGCCTTGATAGTCGAAACAGACATTGTGCTGCTGAGACTAGAGAGGTGAGCAGAGAAAGCCCGATTCCCCGTTTGGACTTTTCTGCTGACATCCACCCCTTTGCTCTCATTTGACCTTATGCAGTTGCGAGCGCCTTAAAACCTTACTAAAACAAACGAGTCAGTCATTGTTAAAGTAGTGTACACGCTCACACAAAATGGGTGGTCGGCAGTTGCTCTGGTGTGGTTTGCTTCATCTTTTCTTTCAAACGTCTAACATTCATATCTCTCCTCCTTCTTTTTTGTGTTTGCTTGTTACTCTCTTGTAACAGCTCAAGTCTTCGTCACTTATATATGCCCTAATTTTGTTGTAAGTGCCGTAAACTCTTACCAAATGGAACACTTACACAAGAACACCGTATCTGACACACCTAGTGGGTGGTTGGCGGGTGCTCTGTTGTGGTTTGCTTCTTTTTTCCTATCAAACATAGATCTATCGTCCTTATTTCCCCTCCTTCTTTTTTATGTTTGTTACTCTCTTGTAACACATCTAATCTTCTGGCGCTCATAAGACCTTATGCAGTTGCGAGCGCTGTAAAACCTCTACTAAAACAAACAAATGACACACCTATACAATTTTTTCTTGCCAAAGACTTATTGTTTGGGTTTGGGGGTTTTTTTTCCTGATTAGTTTCTATGTACATTGTACTTATTTTCCAGTGCAAGTTTATTTCTAAAGGTTTAAATATATTTTACTATGACTTATTTGTCAAGTTTACGCTTTATTTGATGGTGGACAAATATTTTTTTTTCTAACTTGATCAAGTCCAACATATATTTTTTTTTCTAACTTGATCAAGTCCACTACAAGTTCATTTATTTGGTTGCTTTTAAGCACAAGGGGGCTATCCCGAAAAATGCTGTTTTGAGAAAATCGAAGGTAACGTTTTTGCCCCATGTTCAGTTTCTTTAAAGGACAAGTTGAGTTTTCACAATAACCAAACAAATATACACACCAACGAAACCAAACTTCTCCTATAGGTAGGGCAATGCCTTCTTTTGATGTAGGTCAAGATTTCTTGAAACCCCCGAAATCTGGGGTCGCCCATTTGTCCTTAAAAGCGACCATTTCTATCTTAAAGTTTAAGAATATTTGTCAATGACTTATTTGTCAAGCTAAAGCTTTAATTGATTGCAGACGTACAGATTTTTTTTTAACCCTCTCCGTATGCCGTGGAGTCATTTTGTACTCCAGAGGTTGTATTCTTCACATTTTAGAATACTTCTAGTGCGAAGATCTCTTTGAAAATGTCTGTATTTCTCAAAAAGTCATTTTGACAGACCACTATGCAAAGCGTACAAGTAAATTTCCTCTTTTGAAAGTGGTGGCACAGCACAGAGTTCCCCAGGTCGTATGGCTACGATAGTAAAACACGATGTACGGATAGGGTTAATCAAGTTTTCCTGTGTTGCCGGCGTAGTGTGAGCTGTGTGCGTCATGTCAGCGTCAAGCTTTTTAGATTAGTTTACAAGTGGGTATTGTGGATGGCTGGTGGGTGTTTTATCTTTTTCTTTTGTGTCCATTTGTTATTTCTGCATAGCTCAAACAAACAAACAAACAAACATACAAAGAAACAAGCTGATGTGATTGTTCTTGTAATTTTTCCCTCCAGTCTACGGACAGATGTTACATATGGGTGGTTGGTGGGTGCTCTGGTGTGGTTTGCTTCTTCTTTCCTATCAAACATCTATTGTCTTTATCTCTCCTCCTTCTTTTTTATGTTTGTTACTCTCTTGTAACACCTCTCATCTTCGGCACTTAAATGACCTTATTGTGTTGCAAGTGCCGCAAAACTCTTCCTAAAACTAAGATGTTGCATATCTTGGTGATTAGTGGGGAAAAATATTCTTTCCCTCTGAGTTGTCATTTTTGTTCTTGTTTTTTCTTCCTCTCTCTTACTCTCCTTCCTATTTTTTTCCTGTCCTCACGAATATTGATTTTTATAAGAATATTGATAGAAATTACTTCTTATATGGGTGGTTGGCGGGTGCTCTGGTGTGGTTGGCTCCTTCTTTCCTATCAAACATCTATTGTCTTTATCTCTCCTCCTTTTTGTGTATGTTACTCTTTTGTTACACAACTAAATCTTTCTCACTTATATGACCTAATTGTGTTGCAAGCGACGTATAAAACTTACTAAAACTAGACAACCTTTCAAAGTCTCTTGTTGTGGGGATTTTTTTTCTCTTTCTTTCTGTAAACTGTTCTCTTTTCGTTGAAAATGACTCATGTGTTTCTTTTTTTTTTTTATTGTTTTGCCTTCTCCAGTGGTTTACACTACTAAATTTGTTGAGGGTTTTTTTTTCCTTACTCTCGGAAGTATTTTTTATTATTCTGTCGTTATCCATTGTACGGAGCTGATTGAAATCAGTGCCATTTTCAAGTAAAGATGGTTATAATGTAACCAGTGCCTTTTTATCATCGGCTGAGAGCGAGAGATGACTACAGTCGAAACTGTCTTCGTCTAAGGCGACCGCCTATTGTCGGAGAGAAAAGTGGTTGTCTTAGACAGGTGGCCATCTTACACTGTGTCATTATAATATAAAGAGAAAGGAAAAAAATTGCTAGAGGTGAAATGGGAAGCTATCGTTTGTACAGGTGATTGTCTTGTACAAGTGGCCATTTGTATATGTGATTGTCTTATACAGGTGGCCATTTGTACTAGTGATTGTCTTATACAGGTAGCTGTTTGTATGGGTGATTGTCTTATACAAGTGTCCATTTGTATAAGTGATTGTCTTATACAAGTGTCCATTTGTATAGGTGATTGTCTTATACAAGTGGCCATTTGTATAGGTGTTTGTCAAATACAGGTAGTCGTCAGAGCGGGGTCGAGGTGGTTAGAGGGCGCCACTGGTAGATCCTATTTCTTTACTTTCCCTCATTTTTCTGTCTGTCTGTCTTATTTTTTCCCAGCTGTAAATGACCATCATTGTGTCAATGTTTTTCTCTGCATGCAAACAAACAAACATAAGGACAGCAGTATATCCTAATTAGTCTTCTTGTTAAATATTAGGCAGCATTGTGAAATCAGGCGCTCGTCAAAATAATCAAAGTGAAGAAACTGGCATTTTTCAGCAGGTTTGTGAATTTTT